AGACGGTAAAACCAGGCTCTGCAGATTCACTCAAACGCGTCACGAATCGTAAAATCTGGCTTTGTCTATTACAAAATCTTGCTTGACGATTTTTTCGCATACTTTTGTGCTCCAAAAAAAAACCGTTAAGCAGTGCAGTAGGCAGAGCTCGAGTGCTTTATTCGCAAAGAAATAGGCTCGGGTTTTTCTACCTCACATCCAACTAATAGTGGTTTTCCAGCACGCTGTGCCCTGGGTTTTTTACTGTCACTTGTTCGGCTCCTTACAGCAGCCTGTTCATTTAAATTTATTCTGATATTGTTTAGCTGTCTATACTGTTAATGATAAATCCCGTGCTCAAACGTATTAATGAATAGCCTTGCAAACAAACAGTCACCATTCCCATAACCTAAAGTGATATTTTCCATAAAGAGCCTAAAATCTAAAAAAAAAAAAAAAACCCCTATCAAGTGAAAAAATTGCTGTTCATTTAAGCACTTTTTATTCAGTTGGAAAGTATTGGTTGTAAGTTAAATAACAATTAAGTAACCCTCTTCTTTAATCTGCTAACAATCCTGAAGATTGTATTGTTTATTTTTATAGCAATTTAAAATTTAACCCATAAAAAGCGTAGTTTGCGGCATAATTTTTAACACGCATGCCGCAAACTATGCTTTTTGTGTATCCTCATCAAAGACCGACCAAACTTTTCTTACATTTCTAATTCAATAAAATCGTTTGCTTCTTACAGATCCGGTATTTTCCAGTGCATCTACTTCGCTTCTTACCAAAAATCATATATCGCAGAAGAGCCTCGGAAAAAAAATGTGTTCATTGATCTGGCTATCATAAATAAGAAACATAAGAATGATAAAATTACTAGGCAGTCGTGATAGGGATAAACTAAGTCAGGCAGGTGATTTGAGGCCTCTGTCTTGTAAGGCTCGCAAATTGCGCGATTGAACAAACAATCACTGGATTATTTTTCCAGTGATAGTTTTGGGATCAAAAAAAAAAAAACTATCGTACAGCTAAAGAAGAATCGTCATGCTCCGTGACTGGTAAGAGACACAGCTTCATAAATGCGGTGCTTTCCCACACTTTCAATGAAATGTATATAGCAAAATTTGCAAATTCACAAATAATAACTGAAGTGAAAAAATAAAAAAACATAAAACGTGGAAGATGAATAAAAAAACAGTGACTGGTAAGTAGCAAGAACTTCGAATTTGTCTACATCACTACACTGATATGCGATGGTTTATCCGGAACATGTGATGATGATACTTTGTGGAAACGATTCAGTGCAGTAATGGGTCCGCAGCTTGCTCAAGTTTTCGCCACTTTAATGACTGAACGTAAACTGAAAAATGAAGTCGGTCATGGTGAAAAATAATAAAGAGAGAATTTTGGTAATAACTGGAGATGAAGCACCGCATTTCCTGACATCTGCCCAGTGTTGAGCGAAGAAAGCTGAGCTTCGTGCTGTCGTTAATAACTGCTTTTTTACCAATGCGATTATCAAATCTAACCAGTTGTTACCACCATCAATTTCTCATAAGAAAAGGAAGGAAGAAAAAAATACCCTTGGCCGGAATGCAACGATTCAAATGCTTCATTGATCTGTGATAAATCATAATGGCCAGTGATAAATTTATCAAGCGCAATTTTACCCTTCTGGTACTCCTCAACAAGTTTCGGGACACTATCGACACTTTTCCAACCTGAAATTTCACACACATACATAACCTAGTTGAAAAGCGATTACAAGTAGATGAAATACAATTTACAGGGCAAAACGAATAACGGATAAAGCTGATGAACAACTGCTCTTCCTATACTATTTCTTTGTATCACTGGTGAAGGCAGCTCGCCGATTCTTCACAATGCCAAACTCATTCGTGTAACTCCAAGGCGCAAGAATAAAAAGCGAGAGGCCTATACGTATTTATAGGATTTACTAACTTAATGCTGATTTCTGCTTGGCGTCGTCAAGAAGCTCGAAAATTAATCGGCCATTTTTAGCACGACTGTCATCCGTGTTATCATAGCATATGTGCTGGACACTGGTCAAAGCCGGAACCCACACAGTGTATGAGCGCACTGTATCTTATGTATGTTTTTCAACCAAAAGGCTTTAGGCCCAGTACTCCTAAAGAATGTGGATATTCGAGATCATGGTGAACAAGCGCAATCAGTTTGCTAGGAATCGCCTTTTGCCTAGTACTTCTCTGCATCTAAGATGTCCGGCACTAATTCGGTTCCAAATTATTTTCTGTAACTGTAACTGGAAACAACGATATTCTCTGTTCAGGACACCGAAGGAGGAACTTCACCCGACAAGCCTGCAAGTTAAACTGGGGAAAATGTGTTGGTCTGATTTTCTAGTAAAGCATTCGCCCTGTTTAACAACACCAGGCTCCCTCTGCATTAATGTACAGGTCTGTACAACAGACCATTTTCAAAGATTTAAATGAGATTAAATTCTCAGAAAGCCCAAGCCTGCGGTGTGGAACTATAAATATTGGTCAGCAGCATCCCCCGATTTTCTCTTTTTTTCCTACTGTTCCTTCCTGGGAAACTAGATTTGACCCGGACCGCTATGACCCTTCAGCCCCTAATTAAACCCGCCGAACACCTTTCCTCGACATTACTATCTTGGTCAGGGAGAAGAGAAGGCAGCGGAAAAGCAATGCACACAATAGGAATTCGGTTTTGCTACTCTATCCTAAGTTAATTTCATTGCAGGTTTCATCCGCTGATCAGTACTGATTTCTACTAGTCCTATGGTGAATTTCGCAGTGTTTCAGCAGCTCAAGAGCCATTCCAATTCTATAGTACAATTAACTATATAAGTTAAATTTCGCGGATAAGAGTGGACATTTATACTTTTTTAAGTTTCAACTGAAAAGTCAGCTAGCACCATTAACCGCCCTGCTTTGTGGTCTCTCCTAGGCAGACACTATAAGTTAACGTACTATCTTAAACGCTGTAAGCTGCTTTTGTGCTTCGCTTCTTATGTACCAAGTGCATAACATATATGTTTGCTAGTATTTATGTGTCCTGCTTGGCGATTGAATAAAACGTGAAATGTGTAAGATGTAAAAGTCATGATAATCGGCTGCCAAAAGCAAGAAATAAAAAAAAAAATTACCTCCAAAAGCACTTCCCTTCCACGTACGACCAGTGACAAGCTGGAACGGACGTGTTGAAATTTCTTTTCCAGCTGCGGCAACACCAAGAATGCACGATTCGCCCCAGCCTTTATGTGCAGCTTCAAGTGCTTGACGCTAAAATGCATGCAAAAATTTTCCAGAACACAAGGCATCTCGACAATTAAGCCAGTTCATATCTTGAACAAGAAAATAGCAAAAACGAGCGCAAAACTTCGCGAATGCCTGAATTGGACTTTCCATATTCATATTCTTCCGTTTTTTTACACTTTTAGTTTCTGCTTTTTACTTTGTTTTCCTTTTCATCCCTCCTACGATCATACATTTTCTTTCAGGCCACTCTATTAGTGCTATATTTGTTTAATTTTATTTCTTGCTATTTGTAAAGCACTGCATTGAGGGAAAAAATTTATGAGTGCAATGAAAAATCGCGATTTCAGGCAGAAAATGACTTATTCCCCTCTCATTCTAGTGTGCTAATGACTGCCGGTCAGCACTAATTTCTTTTAATCCCACGGTGAATTTCGCCATGTTCCAGTAGTTCAAAGGCCGCCCCAGTTTCAGCGCATAACTGACTATAAGAATTAAATTTCGAGGATAAAGATGGACAATTACAATTGCCCAGAGGGCCAAAAATCGGTTGCTAAAATCAAGAAATAACAAATAAAAAGTTCCACAGACAAATTAAAAAAATATCCTCTAAACTTTCAGTACCTATATACCGCCAATCACAGTTGTTTTTTTAATGCACAAAATGCAATTTGAAACGAAAGCTTTGCATAACTGAAAGAAAACCATTTTTCAAGTTTTCACGAAAACACATTTTTTTTTTCGCAAATTTGCAACAAGCAAAAAAAATTGGCCAACGCACGGGCTGCCCGTGCGAAGATGCGTTTTTTGCAGAGTTCCCTGC